CTGCTATTTGCAATTTTAAAAATATCCACCTTCAATACAGACACATTTAGTTTAACTCATATTAAGAGGTAACAAATGATCAGCTGGGTTCAGTTCATACGAGGGAAGGATTCTTCCCCCTCTCTGACTTTATATGAAAAACAAGTACAAATATTCTTCACTCTTCTAACAATGGAGATATTTATGTTTAGCCATCTGGTTAGGCTAAGAGCAAAATTCACTGCCAACTACCATGCCTACCATCTAAGGCAGTTTTCTATTACTTCTATGCCACATGCCCACAATTCCAAGAATTGCCTTTGATTTGAGGCATTCCCCCATCCTTGTACTAAACATGTTAGCTTCATAACTCCAATCTCATAGACATTAATACCACTACAACCACCATCTCTCTCCCTCTCTCCATGTATGTGTATAAGTATGTACACACATATACATACACACACACCCCTATGTTTTATCTAGCCCAAATCCTACCATTAGTTTGGAAACCAAGGCCAATGAAAGATTTCCTTCCTCCCAGGTATTCCAGATATCAAACTGGTATAATATCTTAGGGCATCCCCTTTCTATGATTCAGGACAGTGTTTCTCAAGCTTAGCATCTTTTGCTGTGGAATTCTGCGGGCTGAAATCCACACATCTTAAAGTTGATAAGGCTGAGAAACACTGATCTATAGTAGGAGCACTTCTGAACTACTGCAGTGGCAAATAAATTGTTCTGAATGTCTGCTTATAACTGGGGGCTGTAATTAATCCAGTGGCATTTGTTCAGGTACTGAGCAAACTCAGTTTCTTAGTTCATTCTCCTTGTCCATGGTGGTTACTGCCTTTTCATTTTTTTCCCCAGGCTTTTTTAATGCCTCTGTTGGGAAGTGAGTTGCTGGGGACTAACAAAGAATAGCAATATACACAGATTAGCTATATGGCAGTTGGGAAGGGAAAAATAAGGACAAAATAAGCCTCAAATGTTATCTTCAAATATGAAGCAATACTTTAGGGAACTATGTCTGTGATGAGTTATAATATTAATAACCATTTCATTTTAGTAATCTATGTCTGCAGCAGAGAAATGCAAAAAGCCATAAAACATTCAGACAAGCAGCAGAGTTGTTCGGTGTTGTGTGGGGGAAGGCTGTATTTAATAATTAAAGTTAACTTTATACCAATGAAATTTTGTATTACAACAGCAGTGTAAAATGGACTAAATTCTCAATTTAGGAAAATGATAGCAATTCAGCTTTGTAGTATATGAATCAAAGGGAATAAATTTGAATCTAAGAGAAATAACAAGAGAGGATGCCTAATAGGTGATGCCTATCTTTCAGCTAATTTTGCCCATGTACATGTTGGAGAATCAAGTGATAAAAACTTTTCGGGATCATGTCACTTCAAAGAACAAGCTTGAATATTTCATTTCTAATTTCGTCTCATTTACTAAATGAAAAAATGGATATGTTGGCGGAAAAAGTTAACTTCTCTCTCTCTCATTCACACTATTTCCTATTTGAATAGGGGACTCTACTTTTACAGTTTTCCAGTGGAACAGTCCAGGAGAGGTTTCAGGACTAGAAAGGGCTGTATTAATGGGAGAAAAGGGATGAGGGGTGGAAAGGAAAGGCAAAGAAAGATATCTATGCAAATATGTTTCAAGTTATGATTTTATTAGTGCAGAATCAAATAAGATATAACTCAGGATATCCAAAACATATTCAGATATAGGGCAGTGCATATTGAATTTTTTTATCTATGACTAATATGGGAAAAAGTACAGCACTTGATTTTGGTTGTCCAAAGCCCAGCAACGAAAGAACAAACAGAGCAATTGGAGAAAGACAGTACATTGGCTCTAGGAAAGAGAAAGGATCCCAGAAGGCAGTTTCCACTGGGAAATTGCCCACCTTAATATTCCAGAGGAAATGCAGCAAACTGATCTTGAGCCAACAGTTCATTAGTTCAGCTGCTCAATCAGCAGTGTTGAGGAGATACCTGATTTCAGCTACAAAGATTTTGTATCTTTGTATCTTATCTCAATCTCCTTATATTTCTATTTCAAAAGAAGGGAGGGGAGGCCTTGCTGAACTCACCCAAGTTCACATTTGCAGTGAGATCTGAACCAGGGACTTCTGGTTAAACGCCATGTACTTTTGCTCTCCGTTACTACTTTAAATCTCAGTAAAACAGTAGCCAGTGATATGGTCCAATGATTACACAGATTGTGACACCAATTTCGAGAGACAATTGTCAGTTGGGGAAAAATGCTGGATGACTAACATACTGCCAACAGCCATAAAGATTCTTTTGGGACTTGGGAATTTGATAATGATAAGGAAATACACACATGCTCATTCTTTGATTACAACTGTTGGCTCCAAAGTCTCTAAAGAAGCCTTTTCTAACCAGATGCACTTCATATGTGTTATATTAGTTCCAACCACTCCTAGTCAATAATGACTAAGGATGGTGGCAGCTATAGTCAAAAACATGTACAATACTTCAAGCATGGAAAAGCCATAGCAATTGATCTGAAACATTCACCATATTGACAGACTAGAGATACATCCATATTCTAAGAAGCAAGCTTTGCCCAAAATGGGGGACTCCAGATGCATTGCCTTTACTGGCTGAGAATTCTGGGATCCAAAATCTTTAGAAAACAACATTATGAAGCCTGACCTGATTGGTTGCTTTGCCAACTGTGATGTAGTTGCTAAGCCAGCTTTAAGTGCTTATAGAAAAATCACGGGGCCCTTTTCTTCTGCAGAAAGAGTGGAATTGCTCCTGAGAAAGAAATAATGAAACCTCAGTGGTGCTGTTTCCAAATAGTTAATTTCATAGAACAGAGAGATTCTCTCCTTACTGGAAGTCTTTATGGAAAGCACTCAGGGGGAGTGCAACTGTCATGTAACTGAGCGAAACAGAGATAGACTTCAACATTATTGGAATGGGATGGTGGGGTGGGAGAGCACCATCTGCTCTTTTTCATATTGTGGCAACATCACACAAATTCCCTTCTTGCTGTTCTACAAAAAGTAACTACATTGGCAATCAGCAAAATTTTTGAGGCCTCTCCCATCCCATTGTAAAATGGGGTAGGAAATCCACTGCTATAACAGCCGTTACATAGAACTGGATGCTTCCAAGAATGCATGATTCATAAACTTGTGTTGAATAAAACATAACTTATCAGGAAAAGAGTATTGTATGAATCTAAAAATAGGTTAATTTACTAATCAAATAAGTCTATGTGAACCCAGCTTTTAAGTGCAGATCAGGCATTCAGTGTGGAGCGATGTCACTTCCCTTCCTCCACCTTGAATGGAGAAGCAGTATTTTATTTGTTTATCCTATTGGAATAGAATTTTATTCTGTTTATTCTTTGTAGCCTGGCTTGCCCACAGAGCTTGCAGGTTAGGTCAGTTCAGGATATCAATTTCATAACAAAGTACAAAACAATAAAATAACCACAATATTCACTAAAGCAAGTTAAGTCCTTAGATAAAGAGGAAAAGTAGTGGAAAACTAGTTAGGCTCTTCTCCCAATGCAAAATGACAGGCGTATCCCTGCTAAACATCTTGCTAAACTGCCCTAAAGCCTCCTGCAAGGGCACCAGGTCACTTGGGCAGCTCAGCTGCTTATGAGCCGGGGGAGAGGAAAGATCTCAGGGACCAGATATGCTCTCATCAGGAATATTGTCTTCCACAACTTCCACAACCCTCCAGGGTCTGCAAACTGCTAAACTGCACAACAGTTCATGTGTAAGTGTCCGCCTCTTGCGATGATGCCTTTGATAAGTGCCAAGAACAATTTACAGATCCAAAACTAAAATATCTACAGGTTTCTTCTTCATGATTAGAGGGGGGTGGGGGGTGGGGGGAGACAGAAAAACCTGTGAGGAAAATCAGGAGGTTTGTAAACAGAAGGGACCCTTCAGTACAATTTGCATTTAAGGGTAAGTACCTTCATCCTCCACGTCTTTCCCACTCTAATGTTACATCACCGAGCCAAAGAAATAAGGCATAGGATTCCCCCCAGCACCCACACAGCAGCAGTTGTGTGTGAAAATATGTAAAAGTAGGAAGAGAGGAGTAGGAGGTTTTATTTTTAAAAGCAACAAGTTTGTGTTTCAGGGAGAGGACAGGAGTGGAAACCTGCCCACCCATCTACAGCTTCTATCCCGTCTGTTTCTCATTCCAGGTTCCTTTTTCTCCTCTGATATTTCAATCCCAGAAATGATCCAGCAGGAAGGAAAGTTGAGAGTCTACAGAACAACAACCCACAAAAGTTGATTGAGTTTTGCTTTCTTTTTTTCCTTTTATGTCTTAAATTCAGCCCCTTAATTCGTCTTCCCATGTGGCTGCTATGTGCTAGTTTTCAAGATCCAGAGTCACTGTTCTCATGTCTCACTTTGGCCTTAACTTCTGTCCTTTCTGCATCATATTTTCAATTCTAGCCATATTCTCTTTCACATCAGTTGGATGAATTTCCATCAGCCTATGCAGCTTTATGCCAGCTACACCAATGCCATATTGCAGTGTTTCTCAACCTTGGTCATTTGAAGATGTCTGAACTTCAATTCCCAGAGTTGAAGTTCAGACGTCTTCAAATAGCCAAGATTGAGAAACACTGCCATATTGTGCTATGCTAGCAAAAGGGAATGTAAAAGCAATCCAATGGACACATACTGAGTCTGAGTGAAGCTTTCTGAGTGAAGCTTTCACACCCTTCAGTGGTGCCACAACAGATAAACAAGGCATCTCAGCCATTTTTAACCAATGAATTTTCATCAAATGCCTTTAACCTAGTCTGATTTTCAAATAAAAAAGCACACATGCGCACACAGACACACACACAAATACCAAGGCACAAGGTAAGAATGTGACTTGCAAGCATTGTAATAAGAGGCAGTAAAACAGAATAAAATCCAGGAGATATGATCTGCTGAAGAGTTACTACTTTTCTGAGACACAAAATTTTCCATTAACACACAAGTTACATACCTCTCTCCATTGCTTGGTTTCTATGCCCTGAGTATACAGCACACATACTGTAAAGGGGAAAAAAATCACAAGTTAACTAAGCCACCAGCACAAAGAAAAGAATTTCGCTCTAGTGCTACACAACATAGACTGTATTAAGCAAACTTCACAAGCTTCTGCAAGATCAAAAGCTAAACAAAATTACTGAAGCTTGATTCCCCACTGATGAGGTTGAGGGGAGGATGGGAGGACTGGATTCCTGAAAATTGTAAAGCTATGGTGCATTAGTTCTTTTTCTGCACCCCTTTTTTCCTTTTAAAATTATTGTTTATTGCTATGTACACAAAAATAGCATCTAAACTTTTTCCATGTTGCTATTAATGAAAAGGCAAGAATGGGGAGGATTTGAGGTTTAGGTTATAATGGAAAACTGAAAAGGGAAATTAGCTGCAACAAATGCTAGAACTTGTGATTTGATCAGGTCTTAGATGCAAATCGCATTTAAGAAGCACATTTTGAACTGTGTGACATCTTAAACATCCATCATATTTTTTGTGTGTATTTGTGTTTGATCTTCACAATAATCTTATGAGGTAAACTGACTGACAGAAACTGGCTAAGCAAGTATTTCAACTCAGCATCCTAACCATTCTGCCCCATCAGCTCAAAAGAGTGGATCAGTTACTTTTACATCTCATCTCCAATAATCTGAATAACATCAATTTCATGAGTATGACTTATTGCTATTGTCTTCCCACATAACGGAGTAGCACAAGAGTTATTTGCCTTAGCTTACATGAAGAAAAAGAGAGGTTGTTTTGGAATCAGAAGTTATACCACATTCAACTGGGAACTACCGCATGCCAAGCCTAGTCCTATACGAAAATTAGCGTCACTAGAATTCTTGTCAGAAAGAACACAAAACACTGCAGCTTAATTCTATCTAGATTCATTAGATTCACTGGATTTACTCTGTTAAATCAAACTAGATTTGCCTTGGCAAGATGGGTAGCATAGAAGTTTAATAAATAAACAAACATGGGAAATTCAGATTTAATCCCCCATTCCTCAAAAAAAAACCACCACACATGTCAGTAGATGATTTAGAATTCACAGTTTTCTCTCAGTTTAAACTAGGCAATTTTGTGAAGACTTTTCAGCTTAACCTATTTTTTTGTGCAGATAATACAAAGTAGGGGAGAGAAGACTCATGTTTATTACATTGAGTTCCTAGAATAAAAATAGAATATAAATAAAAGGAATAACTAAACCAATAGCCTTTGGGTTCTGGCCTTATTTTACTGTCCAAATCCATAAAGAGAAACCTCAGCCATGCTTCTTGGACTGGATCCTCCCTACAACGCAATCTTTTTCCATGCTTCCCCTTCTGTATAAGTAGCAATGAAGCATCTGGGCTATAAAGTAGAGAAAGAGCTACAGGAAAGGTGCTCAGAACCTACCCTGTTTTCTTCTACGGAGAGGTGGATACTTCCTTTTATAAGTCAAGGCCGAATCTAATGCTTTCATCAAAATGACAAAAGAGACAAGAGACCTAGTGCGGTCTAATGGTTAAGCCATGAGCCTAGAAACAAGGAAACTGTGAGTTCTAGTCCCGATTTAGGCATCAAAGACAGCTGGGTGACTTTGGGCCACTCATTCTCTCTTAGCCCAATTCCCTTCATAGGGCTGTTGTTGTGGGGAAAAAACAGGAGGACAAAGAATATTAGGTATGTTTGCTGCCTCAAGTTCTTTATACAAATAATAAAGGCAAGATAAAAAAGCAGCATCACAAGGTTGTACATGACATGCATAAAAAAATAATGCAACTTGAATTGGGACACAGTGATGCTGTTTTCATCATCTGATCTCCCTCTGTCAAAGTCTACTCTACTAGGTACTATGCTAAATGCAGAATCAGGGAACTGTAGCTCCTTCATGATTTAGCACAGAAAACCAAACAAGACTTTTAAATTACCAATAATGTATTTCAATAATGTATTTGGCTCACTTTCAATTGCTCCCCATTACTAAAGCATAGCAAAAAGATGTAAGAATGATTAATGAGATTTTAATGAAGGGAAGCTGCCAGAGAGCAAATGATGCCCCACTAAGCTTCCCCCCCCCCCGATTCTATGATCATGTCTTTTATCTGCCTAAGGATCTATACATACTAGTTGTAACCTCAGTGCTAATCAAAGGAACTAGAACTTCACAAGTTGAATCTGCAACAACATGCTACACTGCGAAGTGCTACTGTTCAGAAATCTAGACTGTCACAACATCTTCCACATCTTTTCTAAGATACTCCATATTATCCCATTATGCTAATTACTGTACATTCTAAGACCACAAAGTTTAGCTGATCTTTACTGCAGAGGTGGGGAACCATGGCCCCATTGAAGACTTGTGGACTTCAACTCCCAGAATTTCTGAACCAGCATGGTTGGGTCAGGAATTCTGGGTGTTGAAGTCCACAAGCCATAAAAGGCAGTGGTGAAATTCAAATTTTTTTACTACCGGTTCTGTGGGCATGGCTTGGTGGCGTGGTGTGGCTTGGTGGGTGTGGCAGGGGAAGGATACTGCAAAATCTCCATTCCCACCCCACTCCAGGGGAAGGATATTGCAAAATCTCCATTCCCACCCCACTCTGGGACCAGCCAGAGGTTGTATTTGCCAGTTCTCTGAACTACTCGAAATTTCTGCTGCCGGTTCTCCAGAACCTGTCAGAATCTGCTGGATTCCTCCCCGATAAAAGGGTCATCGTTCCCCACCCCTGCTTTACTGGATTCTGTGAGTTGTCTCCCTTCCCACTATTAGGAGATATAATTTTTTAAAAATCTAACTTATTTTGGCATTTCTGCCAACTTCTCTCATATACCTAATATTATTGGCTTTCTGTTTATTCTGGCACTCAAGGTGGTTTAGGTTGAGCTTCTCCAAAGCCAGTTATTTCCCTGTGTCATGCATATAGATGGTGCTGTTTTGCATATATAAGAATCAGTCCAGGAGAGTCAGTTAACATATATTTGCAATCAATGCACCATTATCTCCATTCTACTGGTAGAAAGGATTATAGAGAACTAAAATAAAATAAAATACACTGGACAGCACATATCAGGTATATAGGCAATGTAATTGTTCAAGCCGAAGAAATGAAGGTCAGAGATAATAAACTATTAATTCAGGCTTTCAAATGTATTAGAAACATATACCAGGAGAAGAATTTTATCTATACAGTATAATCTATGCTGGGCTTAATAATTGCTATATAGGCTTGAATATCTACCTTTCAGAGCTGTTTCTGTTTAATACAAAGGAGCAACTCACTCTGTCTATGCTCATTTTATACATTCAAAGTGAGTCACCTGACTAGTGAAAACTGAAAACATCCACACACTTAATACATTTCTCTGTGTTCACTAACTTGGATTTCTTGACCAGTATGATTATTTTGTATAAATATGTGAGAGCATGAGGTCATTCAGATTATAAAGATGCAAGAATGAAAGTTCAAAGCCAATAAGACATTTTAAAGTAGTAAATATTGTTTATTTTACACCAGGAATTATTAATTCTGTGTATAATCTGATATTAGCAAATCCCAGTAATTATAATTATGCATTATGCTTCCCAGATTTAAATTAATTTAATTTAATTTAAATTAAAAATATTTAATTGGGATTTTATTTTGCCCTAGGATTGTAATTTGCATACATTTGCAATAGAGAACTTGACAGATCCATAAATTGGGGACAAGAAATTTCATGAATGAAGCCCAAATACTGTAACCAAAACTCATCTTGAAGAAAACTGAAAGTTCATGCAACACTTACGTACATGGGTCAGACTTGGAGAATGTATCTTTATCCAAAAGATTCCTGGGGAGGGGGGGAGGAAAAAATAAAAAGGATTATGTAGGATCAGGATAGATGAGTTTTCAGTTCAGAAATGGAACTGACAAAAAACTCCCTATTTTTTTTTTTTTTTGCACCGATATTGTTTGCTTTCTAAATAATTATATGCACCCAGAAATCATTGAACTCCGCTGAAATTGTCAAGGCAGCCATCAGAAGTAACCTAGGGAATAAGAGCTGAAGAATCAGACAAAAAAAAAAAGACAATAAATAAATACACCAAAGCCAAGAAGAATGGGTTTTTGCTTACAATGAGGCAGTACTCAGTAACCATGCTGACTCAGCAGGAAAGTCTACAAGCTGAGAACATTTGATCATCCAAGGAGATACTCCACATTGTAGTTATCATACTTGGCATACAGAAGAACTGTATTTGTAATAGAATTTCCAGCTTATATGCTTCCTAACATTAGCCAAGCATTTTATAATTCACTATTATAAAAACTTATGAACAAGTTTTCTCTCTTCAGAAAAACACTTCCTTGCAATCTATTCAGTGCTTCATATTATCTCCCAGGGCCAATTTAATCAGCTTCCCTTAATTTGCACTTTTCAGATAAGCTGAAATACAGCTCTAATAATTTCAATTAGTATTGCCTTTGCCCATTATGGCCAGGGAAGATAGAAGTTAAAATCTAACACATCTGCAGAACACCAATTCAAATGATGGCCAAAGTGTAGGTACCAATACCAAAGCACATGCAAATGAACACAACTGGAGGAAATGTCATTAACACAATATTAAAGTAGTTGCTTTGCAAAATGAGCCAGCACTGAAAGCACATTAGTTAAGATGTTTGATTTCCTTTGTGCTTTAGCTATTATTCTCTAAAAGAAATTGTCAAGGAATTATTCCAAATTTCACTATAATTTAGAAACCATTAATTCATCCTTAATGGAAATTCACATGTCTCAATCTTCAAAATGTTTACTTCTGACCCTCTGGAACCCACACAAAACTTTAATCAGCCTGAACCAATATGCTTAGTAATCACTCAAGAATAGTTTAAGCAATAGCTTCATATTGTGTTGCCTAGAATCATTCTGTAAGTAGTAGGGAACGAAAGACTTATCTAGTCAGGTAAGAAATTATGTTGCTTTGATACTTTGCACCAATATCACTACTGTCCAATTCAGATTGTCCTTTTCACAGCAAATAAATTCATAACTGATTCACAAATTCTTGATGGCTAAAAATAGACTATAATGGACTATATTTTCAGAAGTTATATCTTGATAACTGATGATGTAAAAAATGAGAAAGTTGTTTCTTTCTTTAAACTTAGGGGGCATTTTTATTCTCTGCCAGGTGGTGTAATCTTTCTTAAAGTTGGCATAAATCTCACAATACTAAGATTTTGTCTCAGGAAACTTCCTAACAACTTTATTTCCTTCAAGAATTTGCCTGTTATAAAGTATTGTAACTTTTCTAAGAGCTGTCCAGCACTTGCAGTGCTGAATATAGTCTGAAAACATTACAATAAGACACGATAGTGTCTTATTGAAATGTTTCCAGACTATATTCAGCACTGCAAGTGCTGGACAGCTCTTAGAAAAGTTACAGTACTTGTTATTGGGATTTTTACTTGAAAATAGGCAAATTCTTGAAGGATTTAAAGTTCACAAAAGTGTATAGGATTCTTTGCTGATGTGGTTAAATTTTAGATTCTGCACTAATGGCATATTGTGCCATCAATGAATAGCAGAAATAATGAAGGATTAGAAAGAGCTTAATAGCATTCCAATTTCAGAGCCAGGCCTTTCAATAGCTTATCTTTGAAGCACGCAAGAGCACCAATTAAATGTGAGAAGATACACAGACTGAATGCAGAGGGAGCTTGTTTCAACTCCTTGGCACATTTCTTCCTAGAAGCAATCTTTCACTACTTTAAAGACAAAAAAAACTTCAGGGATCACAGCAGGTCAGGCGATCAAATAAGACTTACCCATTTCCTATGTGATTCCCACTAAGAGAGTCTTCCTCGGTGTGGTGTTCTCTAAGAGTTTTGGAAATACAATTCCCAGGATTTATAGCCAGCATGGCTGAAATCCTGGGAGTTGTAATTTCAGCTCTTCTAGAAGACACTGTGGTGATGAAATCCAAGGCAAGGTGGGAATGCAGAAGGCAGTAGAAGACACATCAGTCATATTGGGGAGATGAATATTCAGAGTCAGGTACAAGAAACTACTGGAAATAACTACCAAGTGAGTCACCCATTATTATTCATTCTTAAGACTCAAATATTTAGCATCCAGAGAATAATTATTTATCCTCTTCTTCTAGGACGTGATACCCAGCTATTAACCAAGAAAACCTTCCTCCTCTCTTTAATTTTTTTTAAATCATAATGGGAGGGGGAGCCCTGTCCAGTAAAATGAGATAAAAGCCAACAAGGAATTCTAGAGAAGCTGACTTTCCAGGTGTGCAAATAGAAGAGAACAGACTAGAAAGGTTAGGTCTGCATATCTCTATACACGTATGCATAGTGTGTGTGTGTGTGTGTGTGTGTGTGAGAGAGAGAGAGAGAGAGAGAGAGAGAGAGAGAAGAGGTATGAAGTGATGTCCTGGAACTTATTGTAGAGAATAGGTCTCATCTTTGAGCTTTCCTGCTTAAGATACACATTTGATCTCACAGAAACCTGCAAGCAAAGAACACAGACAGTATAAAGAAGAAGCATGATTTCTAAGTAATGCCCCAGATACCCTTTTCCACATGACCCCTGGCTTTCTCTGGAGTGATTGAAGATAGGGGACTTTGTGGGTCAGACACTTAAAACAGCTCTGCTTTCCCCCCAGAGAATCCCAGGACTTTCAATTATAATTCACTTTCATTGAACAGGATGCCCTATCGTATACTGATAAGCTGCACTCACTGCTTGGCTATTATGTACAGAAACAGAAGAATGTGTGTAGGCGGCTGCTATGTATTACTCGAATGACCCATAAATCAAGAGAAAGGCACAAATCAAGAGGAAAAAAAAAATATATAAGCCATGCTGCATTAAGAATATGACTACTTTACAAACAGATTTTTAAATACCAAAAAGTGTGGGGCAAATCGGAAAAAGAAATCCAAACAAATAGAAATCACCGAAATGTAGACATATAACAATTTCAGTATTTGGGGATCCATTTGTTTTACTGTTACTAATGTTGGCTTAATAATCTCAGCACTGCCAGCCCTACTACTGAACAGAATGAGGCACTGCATTTGTCAGACTTAACACTCAGGCTTGGCAGGAAATCACAGATTTCTAGACCCTTAGCTCTTAATTCAGATCTTGGCTAGACTTGACAGAAGCCTCCAGGACAAAGCACAACTAGTTTAGAATTTTACCATAGACAAAAAAAAGAAGAAGCCTTAACACAGGGCTAAACTCCCAGCCCATGGACTGGATGCGTCACACGCTGGCCACGCCCAGGCCCAGTTTAGCGAAGGGGGGGAAAGTCCCAATACGTCACATGATGCCACCATGACAATGTGAGTTTGACACCCCTGCCTTAACACAAGAGTTGATTGCTTATAGTACATCAAGAATTCAGAGCCTTTATAAACGTATGCTAGCACATTTAAAATTTCTTCTTTCTAGCTTTCCAAGATAATGGACAGTTGGCAGGTCCCTGAATGGCCTTTGGCATCTGATTTGAGGGTCATAAACATAATAGGAAGTGGTCATGTAATGTTTTATGCTATCAAGGAAGAGATTTTCTGCTGAGCTTACAAAATTACCTGACAGGCCTTAAGCACTTTGAGCAATCATTTTCTCCTCTGTCTCTGGCAGTAAAATATTCTAAGCTAGTGACGTGGTCTAGAGATCTTTTTTATCCTGATGGTTCTTGAAAGTTCAGAATTCTACTATGAAGTTCCCCACCCCATTTCTCAGCAGTTTGGCCACATTATACCAAGATGTGCCTTAAACCAGGGTACCAGATCTGGGCAGTAAAATTTCAGAAGACCACCATATAGCAAAGAGATATAGAAAGCTTTGTTGCCACCTACTGGTTACCCAGACTTTGTAGCCCTGGTCTGCAACCCTATCTAAGTGTTAACCTCAATGGAAAACCAGTCAGCTAGATTTTCCAATTCTACCCCCATTAATATTTATATATTTTAAAAACATGCTACTGCTCCTTAGTCATTTTTATTCTTTAGAAGCATGTTTGGTGTATTCCTTCCAACTTTACCATTTATTACAAAAAAGGTGACGATCTGATGAAGTTAAAATCTTACAAAAAGTTCATTCCACTCCGATGCTATTTCATTTTCTCTTCTTTGCTTCCTCCACTCTCATCCTCCTTAACGCACCCTGTGTTTTTTAATCCTAATGTCTGTAGTGACCCACATATCTTTGTTTACATACAACCATTATAAGAATCATGCATATGATCTGAAGACATTATTAGTAACATTACAGGCTCTGTATAATGAATCCTATTAGATGGTATTTTAAATTTAAAAACCTGGGAAGAGAAAGAGAGTGATGGGAAATGACATCAAGAAGGGCAGCATTTCAGCAATCATGTAATAAATGCAATGAAGTAACCAACCAACACAGCAAAGAAACTTTTTCTCAAAGCTGGAAAAAATTGAACACAAAATTGGATAAGTCATTTTGGCTCAGATTTAATTATCTTTAGTGTCAACTTTAAAAACAACTTGAATGAATGTTTAATTTAAAAATGCCCTTATATGTTTATAAAATTGTCTGAGATTTTATAGCTTATGTTTTTCCAAGTAAATTACACATATGCAGCTTTGGACACTAAGAAACTAGCTGGAAGAATCTGTTTCCTATGAACCTCCAGTGCCATCCCTGGTGGAAATTGCTTGGCAATCCTGGGAGTTGTAACCTCAACACTGCAGGCAAGCATCAAGCAAGACAAGTAGAAAGGAGCAGGGTGTTAGTTACACAGTCATGGTTGCCAATGTCACTTTTTAAAATTCTCCCCTGAAGACATACCC